TCTCTTTCTCACACAAATTATCAAATCCACACCACAATTTAAAGTTTGTTTTTTTTTATTCAACTTATACAAAACATATTAAATAGCAAAACAGTTTAAATTCAATTACATAAATCAACTTTCTTAGTTCTTTCAATTCAACTTCCACAAAACATATGTAATTAAACAGTAAATTTAATTGGGAATCAAAAATTTGTAACTGTTACAAATTTATTCAATTTTCTATTTAGTCCTTTTGTATATTCATAAACTAGACAGAATCTGGAATATTTTCCTCAGTCGCAATTGATAAATTTGCATACGCATTGCACGGCATAATCAACAGGTGCAAAAGTTCCAACTCCTCCTGTCGACACAGTCAAGGACAATACGCGTATAAACATTCGCCTAACGAAATAAAAATTCTATTACTAGGCATAAACATATATTCTTTTAACTACTTAAGTTAATTGCAACACAGGCTTAATTTTTATTATCGCGTAATTAGACAAGTAATTTTATAAACAATTATCATATGGAATGTCATAACATTATTGAAAAGTCAAGAAAATTTCTTGTTTCAATACGTTTTTTTTTGGAACAATTGTTTTATAGAAATTAAGAACAATTTGTGAATTTATCAAGGGAAGTAAGTAAGCTTACAAGATTTTGTTTTAACAATAAATTAAAAAAGGACAAGTAATTTTATAAAACTTTTTTTTAAACAATTTTCATATGGAATAAAGTACTATTTATACAAGCAATTTTATAAAAATTTTTATTAAAACAATGATCATATGGTAAGTACTTCGATTTTTTACAAAGACAGGACATTTTCTTGTTTCAATACGTTTTTTTTTAACAATTGTATAGAAACTAATAACAATTTGTGTATTTATCAAGGAAAGTAATTAAAATTTGTAAACTTATAAGATTTTATTATAATATTTGAATTTTTATTATGAAAGCAAGAAAATTATTGCTCCCAGACCAAATTTTTTTAAGCAAATTGTATAAAAATATTACAATAAAGTAAAAAAAATACTTGTTGCATAATGAGACAAGCAATTTTATATTTTTTTTTTTATAAATAATTATGATATGGAAAGTAATTACAAATGAATGACATTTTCTTGTTTCAATACGTTTTTTAAACAATTATCTTATAGAAACTAATAAGAATTTGTGAATTTATCAGGAATGTAGTTAGATTTTGTGTACTTACCAGACGATTTTTTAAGCAAATTCTATAAAAATAATATAAAATTTGTCCAAATTCAAATTATTTCTATTAGGTAAATAATTACATTGAAATTTAAAAAATGTGTGCAGAAAATGTATGTACTTTATTCAGAGAGTCGAACCGAAATTAAGTTCGTTTCGGTTTACGGTTACGTTCCAAGTAAATATTTATCGTTCCAGATTCGGTAATGGTTCGTCTAAAAATTTCGGTTCAGGTCAAATTTAAAATCGAAAAAAAGCAATTTAAATTAGTTATGTAAAATCGAGTCCAATATCAAATTTTGATTAAATTTTATTTACCAAATTCCCTTATTATTTCGGTTTTTCAATTAAGCAATTTTTCGTTCCTGTTACAGTTACGGTTCAATTAAAAATTCAGATTAATTTCTGTTTACGGTTTTCGGTTCGGTTCCGGTTCGACTCTCTGACTTTATTATCTTGCAACCGTAGAAGACAAGACTCCTTCGTCAATTAAAGGTGTATCGAGCAATTAAATTGGAAATTGCGAATGCTCGTAAATCAGGTGGACGAATCGCGTAAATCACACGAGCTTTCCCTGTCTCATCCCGATTATATTACGGATTTTCTATTAAAAGATAGCCCGGATAACGGAGCAGACTATAAAACGTCGACGTTTACAACTGCAGGCACTTTCAAATACTAAATGAGTTAATCCAAAAAAAAAAAAACAACAACTAACAAATTGATTTCTTCCAAATTAAACTGTATTGAAGATGTGTACAGTAGCTCTTTTATGTAATTTCCATTTATGCAATTTGTAATAAATCAATCAGTTTATGTAAAAATATATAAATAATTTAGTTAATAATAGAAATATATTTGAATCTTCAATAAATTAGTGAAAAAAATAATTTAATTTTTCCAAATTTTTATTTATTTAGTAATTTCTCTAGAAATATGTGCAAAAGAAAAAAAAATGTTAAATCCGTCATTAGTTGTTATTGAAAATATTTATCAATTAATTAGTAATTAAAAGGAACATTTAAAGCGTCTCTAGTGTAAATTAGATAATCTTTCATTATTTTCTATAATCAATTAATATGAAGAACATTAATGAACAGTTATAGAAATAATTGAGTAATTTGGATAAACTTGATGTTTTGATTAATTTCTTTTTTCTTGCACCGACTTTTTGATGAACTTTACCGGTTGTTAATTGGTATATTCCGGTTCGGCTGATGTCCAGGCATATCCACTATACAGAGGTCAAATAATGGAAATTGCGCAGCCATCCGATTACGTAATATTAAATTAAAACGTGACCGGTCTCCGTCGATAGTTTGTACAGAGTTTCCGGGCGTCGTCGATATGCCATCCAAAGGGGGTGGTTTGGTTGGTGATGGTGGTGGTAGATGTTTGAAGGGATGGGGGTGGGCTTTTTGGGAGGTGGCGGCGCGCGGAGGAGAGTTTACATTTTGTGTATGCCGCTTATGGTGCATGTGTATTCAGATTGGCGGCACGAAGGGCAAACTTCATCCTTCCCAACGCTCCCAACTTTACAGAAACGGACCCATGGAAGTCGTCGTAGTCGTCTACGTCCCTTCCTCCCTAATTTCAACACAAATTTCGGACGATCAATACCACCTTTCCCCACATCCCAATCCATTATATCAAATACTTTATGACAGAAGTTAATTAAATACTTACTTATTTACATGAAACTTCTTGAAGATTTCTATTCTACCAATTCCAGTTTATATTTACAATGATTGTTATTTCTTGTAGTAAATGCATCATTTTTTATCAAAATTAATAGAAAATTTAATATTTTAATGAAATAATTGGTAGACAATAAGTAAAAAAAATCACTTATTGCTTATGCAATAATTCTTGAAGATTCCTTCAGCTGAAATAATTAATTAGGGAATAAATAAGTAAAATTTGTTCATTCATTTCGATTTATTTTTATTTAGAATAAAATACACAAAATACAAATACTTTTATTAAAAATTAGTAAGATTTAGTATTTTTAGCTAAAAATTACGCCGAACGTCTCAAATCCGCCTTCTAAAACAATATTAATAATAATTCAAGTATACCAGTTTAATCATTGGACATAAATGAACATAGACGTTCGTGGATGGATGAGCAATAGTACTACAATACACTAAGTTTACTTTTTGGTACATATTTTAACATTAAGTGAATTCTCATTTTTTCTTATTTGGGGTTGTTGTTTCAATTCTTTGCTTATTACATTTAAGTGTGTGCACAAGCTACTCAAGTTACCGGAAGATTTGAGACGTTCAGTATCATCTTTTTTTGTTATACTTTCATTCATTTATTTTTCATATATATATATATATATAATTTTATATATCTAAAGATTCTTATTTAGTAAACAACGTTTTTATTCTTTATTTTTTTTTGTAAGGCAGAATTACATCCATGAAATGAATGATCCAAGATTAATGAAGAATATTGTAAAAATAATAATGATTAAACGATTTGAGCCTTCGGCATTTTTTTTTACTATACATTAAATCAATTTTCACCTAAATTAACAAATAACAATACGCACTTAGCTTAAGTAAAATTAATTAAAAAAAAGAAAATGCTCTACACTGGCCCTTTGTGATGATAATAATAGATGATTCGTAATAAAGGTTTGTACGTTTAGGTTTGTTTATTTTTTTCGTGTCTCGTCCTAAACAACAGTTCGAATTAGATGTTTCAGAAGCTTATTAATCTTTTGTACAAGTATAAAAATAGAATACTTCCTCTTTCTTTCTTTCATAACTTCCTCAACTTCGAGACGCGCAACATAATTCTGCCTTACTTAGCATATCTTTCTCTCGTCGCGATTTTCAAAGAAAAACAAAAACACTTTGCGGAAATGATACAACAATGGTAAATCACCTTCTTATAACAAAAATATTATTTTGTTGAGATCCGGTCAGATACAAACAAGTGTAGTGTATACAATTTTTTTTTTATAGCAAGGATGAATTTACACGCTATATAGTACAAACCTTGTTCACATATATATTTTCAATTACTTCGTATCAATCAAAGATGTATATATATATATATATCATTTTTTTGTTGTTACACCAGTGCAGATTCGATTTCATTCATCTCCAACTGTAGCTCTTCTTTTTTTTGTAACTTCTTTTGTTTTTTTAATTTATATTATCACAGTCGGATTTGTTGGATTTATACTTGTAGAAATTCAAAATTTTAATTGCTTCATAGGCATTAAATTACTCAAATAAAAATGATTATATTTTTTTTAAGTTTTTAAAAACTAAATTATCGTGAAGTTACGGCTTCCCGGAAAACTCGTTAGATAATGAGCTGCATGTTGCCTTATCTCGAATGCGCTCTATTTTCCACAGGTATTCTTGATAAGAAACACGTTAGTAACTGCAAATGAACAGAACACACTTTCAATTTTGTTTTTCAAGAAAAATACTGTTTCTTTATTATCGCATTTTACAATTATTTAGAAAATGTAAGCAATAATAACAATATGTGAGCATAATTTGGACCAAGAGAATCAGTCTGTTCAAGAAAAACTCGACTAAATTGTACAAAAAAATTTGGCATCAAACTCACCACAAACGATTTTAAGTTATTATTGTGTGTTTGTTCATAATTATGAAAGAAGTTAATAAGTAATAATTCACTTTGGTTAATGATGTTAGTAGAAGTTTTGTTTTTTTTTTTGTTAATGAAGAGTAAATAAAAATAATCACCTTCGGCTTACATCTCTTTGGTTTCTTTGGTAACTCTAAATGCTTTTGTTTGTTTATTAGTTGTCAAGAGCGGCGTCGAACCAGCAGATTAATAGGAAACCAGTGCCAGTTCATAGCAACATCAACAACAATAACATTGGTGGTGGTCGCCACATGGGAGAGATGATGCCTATGGCGCAACTAAATTTGGGTTTTCCATCCAAGTATAATACCCAAAATCCCTATAATATGTACAAACGTTAATTAGTTTAAATTTAGAATAAGAAACGGGACGTGCAATGACACACAGGTCGACTTCCTGGCTTTTCAAAATTCCAACTAAATAAAAAAAAAAATAAGAAACAACAACCCTGATGTCATTGAACGTCCGCTTAATTATATTTAAAAATATTCCATTTTGATAATACACACTCATACACACACTCTCACACATTTAGTTCTTCTTTTGTTGCTTTTTTTTTATATATAAGTATTCGAAAATTATGTATATCAAAAAACGAAACGAAATGTTAACAATTGGGAATAACTTTACATACAATTATGATTAGAAGTTCATGTACATTCTTTTAGTTTTGAAACAATTGATAATTTTTGTATTTTTTTTTTAGATACACGACGAGTGTTAAATTATTCGGTGACTAGAATTGTTCGCTTTCTAAATTATAATGGTTATGAACTATATTTTTTTTTAGTAACTTAAAAAGCATAGGTAGTCAAGGTCAGAACTCGGGTAGTTTCGAGTTCTCTGATCCATCATTTGTTAAATTATAGATAAATATATTGGTTAGTGCTGTATGCTATAACCGTTCCAAAATAAACTCGTTTTCTTTCGTTCACATAGACAACTTTACTATTTTCATGATTATATATAGAGTGAAAAAACTATTGAGGAAAATATTGTTGTTTAGAATCATAGCAGAAATTTGTTGTTACTATAATTGTTGTTGGAAAGGAATGTGAAGATTTGTTATAAATAATTGTATCAATAAAACAAATATTTAAGTTGTAAATGGCGAGAGTGGAAAAGTAAGTGTTACTAAAGCGAAGTGTCCCCAAGTGAGGAATGAAATTTTAATTTGTCCTAAAAGTCGTAACATCCCATGAACCAAATTAATTAGGCTTAAAACTTTCCTCGGCTTTCCTCTCGTTTTATTTTCAGTCTATCCTCGCAGAATCCCCAATGTGAAAAGTTGACTTCTTTACATATCCATTTTTTTTCGTCTGTTTTTCCTTCACACCTTTGTTTGCAGAAGTTTCTAAGAAGAGTATATTTTTTTCACTGTAATAATAACAAACAAAAAATCTACACTGCATCTCGGAAAAACTAATTCGAAGAGTGCCAATTTCTTAAGGGAATACAATTTTTTTTTTGTAAAAAAAAATGGGACGTTTTTGTCTATGAAATGCGATGGGAAAACGAGTAAATTTTCGGTTAATTGGTTAATTAGTAAATGAGCAAATAAAAAAAAACTTACTTTGAAAGAAATAAATAATAAATAAACAAGATGAAGGAGGAACACATGTAGACATGTAATATAAATTAGTGGACACAAACAGAAGCCAAAAATAAATAAATAACAGAAAAAAAAATATATAATAATAATGTACAAAATAATAATTATAAGAAAGAAAAATGCACGAGAAACGCGAGAATTGATCCAAAATATTAATTTTTTTTAGTGTTGTTGCATTTGAATAATTATTTTTTTCTTGTCGTCTAGTTTGTTTTTCGCTTAATTCCAGAGTGTGTCTCAAAAGTTGTTGTTGTAACGTCTAAACTTTGGTTTTTTAATCGTCAAAAATAGAAAATAAAAATTACAATATATATATATATGTATAATCAAGGGTACATTCTGTGTAAAATTAAAAAATATTACGCAACATATAAATTCTCTCGTAACTTCATTAATTTTTCGCTTTGCTATTTTTTGCTTCTCTCTTCCTTTCGGTTTTGGTGTGCGCGTTGTGCTGTGATCACTTTCACGTTCCGAAGAAAACACACGGAAAACAAAATAATAATAATTAAAAAATAAACGTATCGATTAATTACAGAAAATAATAATAATATATAACAGAAAAAACAGAAATTCTTCACTCGCAAACGAAAAAAAAAAGTAAACAAAATAAAAGGAGTAAATGAACATAAAAAGAAACATAGTAATAATAGCAAAAATAATGAATAACAACATACATAGATATGGCCTAAGAAAAATAATAATAGTAGTAGTAATAATAATCAAACAAAAACATTATTAATGATGTAATAATAATAGAAAAGAAAAATCAAACAGAAAATAACTGAACAACAGAGGATGTATGCGCGTCTCGTGAAACGCCACGAAGAGCAAAAAAAAATACACACAAACACACATAGAAAATTATGTAACCTAACGTGTGTGAGTGAATGAATGAATTAATGAATGAATATATGCGTAGAGAACAGAAAATAATTATAAAGAACATCAAGAAAAAGTTAAATGATAAATCAACAATCAATGAACGAAAGAGAAATTATTGAGAAAAAAATTATAAAAAAAAAAATAACGAAAAACGAACATAAACATATAATATATTAGATTTGTTTCTTGCTTCTCTTTTGGTCAGCATCCTCTCGTCATTCGTGTCTCATTCCAAAAACATATTAAATAATCGATTCCCAACAAAAAAAGAAAAACGTTTTCACTGTTGTTTTTTCTTCTGTTTTCATATATGTGCAACCCCCTTAAGATTCTCGGGGGTCCTTTGTTAAAAAAAAAGATTACTCACAGTCCGTGTATAATATATAAATAGTATATAGTGATAATATATTTATTTTTTTTTGTATTCTTCTGTTCTTTTTCATTTAAATCCTGAGGTGGGGCATGTCATCACACTGACACTTAATTAATTTTTTATATCTTTCATTTTTTTTTCACTTTAACTTAACAATTATTATTTTATTTATGTATATATATATTACATATATATATATAACTTTTGAATTCATCGTGTTGACTGACTTTCTCTCAATCTTGCTCTTTCAAAAAACAATTGAAATCATTCAATAAACTTCTCATTTATTTAAATTATTTTATTTATCCCTTTTTTATTGGTTATTTATTTATTTATTATTTTTTTTTTTTGGTTTTGTTTTGTTTATGTATATATTTATTTATTTAAATTTTTTTTTGTTTTGGAAATTTTTGTTTTTTGTTTTATTCCTGCTTTATGTAACTTCGTTAGGTCTCTTTACTTAGTTAGTATGGTCTTGAGGCGTCTTTGGACCGTTTCAATTGCACTTTTAAACGTTTCGTGCCAATCTGGAAACCGTTCATCGCCTGGATCGCCTGCTGCGCGGACTGAGCGTTATCGAACGACACGAAACCGAAACATTTCGACAGATTGGTCTGTTTGTCTATGAACACCTTCGCCGAGATCACAGGGCCGAACGGCAGGAACGTGGATGCCAGGTCCGTGTCGTTGAACTCCTGGGGAAGGTGGTAGATGAACAGGTTGCAGCCCTCGGGACCTGCAACATTAGCAAAACCTACGAGGAAGAAAAGAGTAACAACATTGTCATCCATACATATTAGACTAAGAAATAAAGGTATAAAAGAGGTATAATAATGGTAAACATCAAGTATAACTTAGGAAAAGCAGAATAATAACATAGGTAACAAGAGGTATTGGAAAGGTATAGCAGAGGTTAAACAAAAGTATAACAGATAACAAATGTAAAATTGAGGTAAAACAGAAGTATTATAGCGGTATAGTAGAGGTAAAACAGAGGTGATGTGAGTTATGGGAATGGATAGGAATGCAGGGGATTGCAGAGGACTACAACCTCCCGCATCCGCATCAAGCCTAATGCACTTTTAAACTTGTTCGGGATTAAATTAATAAATGGCTGCAGTTGGAAATCCCCGCTGACCCATCCAATATACTGCTTGTTACCTTCGAGTGAGTGAGTATGTGTGTGTGGGAGAGAGAGAAAGGGACGCAGCAACTTTCCACGTCCTGCGAAACACCTACACAAAAGTGTCCATGAATTATTACGTCCAACCGATATATCAATTCTGCATATTAAAACCGCCACCCTTCGCATACATAATCCACCCCTTTATTATTATTATCATCACAATACCCCAGACTTCTCAGTCATATCATTTTTGTTTGTAAAATACGATCATTCCATAATAAAACTTGCAAATTTTCATTATGATTTAAATATTTTTGATAAATTGTTTCACTAATCCGTGAAATGATAAGTAGCTTAATTAAAGTTAAGATCTGAGAACATGATGAGATGATTGTAAACCAAGAATAGTTTTAATTAAGGTAATGTATTTGAATTGTGCGGATTGAAATTGAAACAAATTGGTATTAACCTGTGAAGATGGAGATGTTTGCAAATAAATGAATTAATCCTGCGACGACGGGAAAGGTAATGCCGTCTTTTATTGACATACAACCACTTGCCGAGCAGTGGGAGAGAGAGAGTGCCATTGTGTCCCAGTTTCCATTTATATCGGCTTGTAAATAATTCAGATTACGATAAAAGCGTAGTACGTAATCAATACCGCAGCAATAAAAGAGCACACACAAATACACGTCGTAATAAAGAAAAGAAGAGAATAGAATTAAAAAAAAGCACAAGTTACATACATTGTGCACAACGAAATGTAGGAAAATCAATGGTAATCATGCTAGTAAACTATATAGGTGTACTAGTTTGTAAATATGTGATAAATCCATATATGAATTAGTACTAGCTGATCACAATAACTAGATGATAGCTTTGAGTAGTAATCTTGACATGATCTTGAAGATTTTGAGTAGCATTCATACTGATCTCTTACCAGCTTTAAAAGAGATATCCTACAATGTTATTTTTCTTTAATACTCATCAAATCTAACCCTTAAACTGCATGCTGAAAGAGCTTAGGCTTAAGCAGTATGAATACTATGTAAAATTCAAACATGTAAACCACTTCATATATGAATAAAAACATTTGAAACCTTTAAAAGAGATTACTTGCTGATGATGATAGCATGATAGTGATGTACCTTAGGTATTATAAACTGTGTAAGTATATAATATGGGAGTTATTTTTTACAAATGATGAAGTGCATTAGGCTTGAGAGGTTAATTGGAGATTTGGTTTGTGAAGTAGATGATGTTAGGTATGTGAGACACTTACCTTCAACTTGTTTGCCAGCAGCGGCGATCGCCGCCGCCGAAATGGTAGCATTGGCAAATAACGAGCCGTAAGAACTAGAAAGGTCGGTGGTGGTAGTGAGACTAGGTTGCAAACTGGCCGACAGTGTCCTATCAACACTCGCAGACTTTCCAAGTAAACTGGCCATACATAAGGGTGAAGCAGCAGCGGCTGCAGGTTGCGACATCGCTGCAAGGGTAACTAGGTTCTGCATACCGATAGGTGCAAGCAGGTTATCGCTGCCCGTCAGCAGTTGCTGCTGAAGAAGTGCGGTACTGTTCATAGAGTTCATCGCCTGAAGCAGTTGCAGAGACGTCGTGTCATTGGGCAGCACTTGGCTGAACTGCTGAGGCGTCTGCTGCAACCTGTGATCCGTCAGTGGTCCCCAGATATTCGCCTGCATCTGCTGCTGCCTCTTCAGCTCCTTCTCCTTCTGCGTATCGGCGAATTTGACTACCAGAGGTGCCGAACAACCCTCCATCGTTTGGGACTGGTGCAGTGCTTTGATCGCGCTCAACGCGGACTGCTTACTAGCAAAGGTCACGAAGGCGCAACCCTTCGACTGTCCAGCGTTGTCCCTCAACACCGAACACTCTTCTATCGTTCCGTAAGCGTTGAACATCGCTCGAACGTCATTCTCGCACAGCTTCTTACTCAACATCCCCACAAACAATTTCCTTTCTGCAACAAATAAAAGAAAAAAAACACATAAGTAATCATGAAAAGCAATACTCAATTAAACATTTTCAATCGTATTTTCCAATTAACTTGCTTGCATTGTAAAACGAAAAATAATTAACGAACCCATAAAAATAACCAGTTTCAACTTAATTCCTTCAAGCATACAAAACTGTATTACATCTATCATATAAGAATACATATAAAAATCTGATTTGTTACGACACTTTTAACTGTTACAATTTCATGATGAATCACCTGTAAAAGCGAAATCCATAAATCAAATCTTCTGGTCCTTTTTAATCTTTTGGTGGTTGTTAGAAAGAGAATGGGAGATGCCAAGTTTCCGAAACATTCGAGTATTTTTAGCACGACGCTTTAAGCAGGCGAAAAAAGAAAAAGGTAACTGACGGAAACTACACACGAAATTGACGTTCCGTTAATTAATGCGTTAAACCCATTACAAGGATGAACTTCTGGGCCAACGTTTCGAAGCGACGCAAATGAAAAATGGACGTGATTTTCACGTACTCATCATAATGAAAAATATGCGACTGCGTAAGTTACGTACGAGGATGAATAACAAATGTCGTGTAAAATTGGAACGTAAATGATGCAAAAGGAAAGGAAAAGAGGATTTTTTTTTTGTCTTCTCTTTTTCTTGTTTTTCCACCCGACCCTTGTCCATAGACAATTGATTCGATTATATCAGACGACGTCAACGTCGCCCCCCCCCCTTCCTTCCTACTGCAAGAGCTTCTACGTTACGTAATCTTGAAGGACACGCGATGGTAATGAAATGAGTAAATAAAACATGAACCATTAGAGTAAATCCACTGTTAATGTTATTACAATAATAACGTCCAGGTTAGTGTATTGCTTCTAAATATCTTCACATTCCTTTAGTATAAGTCAACTAAATGCTACTAAATACGACTCGAAAATAACCAATATTCTCTATATTATATAATTTACTCATTAGATATTCGAATAGAAGAAAATGCAACAGGGAATTTCTTATGTATTTTGCAAGATAACCTTCAGTCAATTCTTGATCAAATATGGACTTATGATGTGCATCAACTAAAGTATTTAAAATATCTTAACAATATTGAAGATTAAAACATTCTTAATTGAATTCCTATTGCTATTACATAAATTCATATATTTTAGAATTCGTGCAAATGTTTTATGCATAATAACGAAACATGCATCATTTGATTTAGCAATAGAAGATTACAATGAAGACATTTTATGCAATATGCATGGAATTTCTTGCAAACTAACCTTCAGTTAATTTGTTGACCAAATGTGGAAATGCATCAAACAATCACCAGAATTTCACAATATTAACCGTAATAGATTATTTGATTCATTTTCCAAAATTAGAAAATCACATTAAGAACTGTTAGAAAATGACGTTGGTGAATTACTGATAAAAAGAAAATAGGACAAAAATAGAAGTGAAGGAAATAAAGAGAGCGAAGGAAATGGAATGCATTGGGAAAATGGTCCAAAAAAATGGGTTACGTCAGTCGTTCTGTTGGCTGTATCCTCGGACCCGATGCGGTTTCAATTTTTCCCGATGTGGTCAATAGAGTTACGTAAGTAGTTCCAATCGATCTCTCCAAATACCCGTACAAAACAGACACTATTAGAGTGAAGTGAAAGAAGTGGCGGAAAAAGTGTCATGGAAAAGTGAAACAGCACAAATTTCTTACAACTCATTGGGAAATCGTACAAAAAAAAACATTAAAACGATTACAAAGATGTTCATTTTCTTATATAATGAACATTATTAATTATAATCTCAATTTTTTTACTTGTTTTATTAGGAGCATTACAGATACACTATAATTGCTATAATTACATTAAAACGATTACAAAGATGTTCATTTTCTTATTAATTGAACATTATTAATTATAATCTCAAATTTACTTTTTTATTAGGAGCATTACAGATACACTATAATTGCTATAATTACATTAAAACGATTACAAAGATGTTCATTTTCTTATTAATTGAACATTATTAATTATAATCTCAATTTTTTTACTTGTTTTATTAGGAGCATTACAGATACACTATAATTGCTATAATTACATTAAAATCAAGAAATTACAAAGATGTTTACTTGTTTTATTAGGAGCATTACAGATACACTATAATTGCTATAATTACATTAAAATCAAGAAATTTATAAAAAAAAAAGTATTACAGACACACATTGTTTCCAAGTGTATAAAACTTTTCTAGTTAATATTTAGTCGTAATATTTGCTGCGTTCATAATGAGTTACTTCTATTTGCAGTGCTTACTATACGTTTATTTTTTTTTTCAAATGTAAATGTGCGACACGTACGGAAAATTAACGACACGTCAATTGCACAATCGACGTTCTGTAATTAAGTTGCGTCGCATTAATCATCTAAAATTGAACCGGTCGGATGATTAAAAGCAATTAAAATATGTGGACGAAAGGTAAATCGAATATATATACACATAACAGAATAGACAAGTTACACGATACGTTTCAAACGAAGCGCGCAAAATGTTACTAGAAGGATCGGTTACCAATTAGTTACGACACAAAACATGTAAATCAATCGCATAAGCAAAACAGTGATCGCCATTTGAATACAGACAATGCCGTATCAGTTTAATTGCAGGACTTTGAGGAATTTTAAATATGATATTATGATGCATGTCGATCGTGTATGTGTGGCGCAGCGAACAGTTCTGCTCACTTGGAAATACTGGAACGATGACTCACTAGACCTATCGCATTTACATATATGACAAAGTATCATTTTTCTTTTCATCTTTCTTGTAACAGATACTTGCAAGTAAATAATAAATAGTTCAAAAGCTTAAATTATACTCTTGTACTATTATTAAGAACTCTAAACTCAACTAATAAGCATAATTTAATAGTTCTTAATTACACATTTTCAAATTTGTAAAGAAACTTACAAAATTTCTATAATTAAAACGTTTTGCTAATTTGAAGGAGAAGCTAGTTGTTGACACGCCTGGCCTCGATATATCTCGGGACAATAAAGCTGGGATTATACAAAGTTAGTTCATATTTGGGCGAGTCCGAAGTTGCAGTTTGTTATGCAGTGTACAAGGTAGTGGTGGTAGTCCAAATACCACCAGCATAATAAATCTTCGGTCGGTGTCCAAAGCTTTATTACATGGTATTGCCGTGGAGGCAGTTCTAAAGGGTGATAAAACTGAGAGAGGTCGCAACATAATTTTGCATATTAGTCAAATCACGTCCCAGCCAAAGTCAAGAAACAACGTGTACTTCCCTCCCTCACGCTTCTCAACAACCACCACCTCCCTATTTCACGTTACATCTCATTCCTTCATCCGCTCTTTATTTTCCTGCAAGCTTGCCTTTTTTTCTTCTCTCTCTTCTTATTCACATCCCTTTCCACATCATTTCCTTTCCAGTCGTCACCTCTGCATTACAATGTAATCGCTACATGTAATCACCGAACAACGCGAACTCGGCGAAAATTCTAATCAATTTTTTTTTCTATTCCTTCTGCGTTGCCGCCATTCTTCCAATGAATAAGGAGAGCGGAATCAAATTGGAAACATGCCTGAATTTCATATTTAAATAGATTTGGCCGTACACAGAAAATTGACACAATAATCATAAAATCTATTACAATGTGTTCAAGTGATAGTAAGATTTGGCGACCAACGTGGGACCATAACACAATAACACGTGTAGATAAAAACAATTAAAAAAATTAAATAAAGTCTCGAGATTAAATAAAGAAATTTAAAATTAAGATTTGGCGACAAACGTGGGGCTTTCACAAATTTAATATTAACCAAACTTGACACAATAATCATAAAATCTATTACAATGTGTTTAAATGATAATAAGATTTGGCGACCAACGTGGGACCACAACAAAATAACACTTGTAGATAGAAACAATTGAGAAAATAAAATAAAGCCTCGAGATCAAGTAAGGAAATTAAGATTTGACGATCAACGTGGGGCTTTTACAAATTTAATATTAAGCAATTTTAATTGACTGAGGATTTGTAAATCTTGATTTTGCATCAAATGACATTATGATTTGGATAAGAAACTGTTTTATTAATAACACTTAATAACAAACAAAAAACAATGGGATTGAGGACTACAAAATATTGAGGAAGTAAATAATAAAATCACGTTTCACGGATCGTTAAAGATTCGCGAATATAAGCGTTTTTAAGCGCGTACGAATGTGCAGCGGAGGCGAGTGAGGCAGTTAAAAGTTTATTCCTGGCTGCTCTGGGCTGCAACAATGGCAAAGACGAAAACGTAATTCTGGACCGGGCAAATTAACACCAATTGGCATGTTTAATGCGCTTTTAATGTCTAAATATCTATCCTCCATTCTAGCGAGAGAACCACTTGAAACGCACTTCCATTCAAACGAGGAATGATCATGATGTGTATGGTATACACAACAGCATCATTTTCATGTGGTTTTGCGGCCGGAGCATCAGTATATCCATCCATATCCAGTATGCTGGTGTAGAGGCGCCGATTTTGAAAGCGCTAATGATAATAATCATAACGATTTGTCAATAATTTTGGTCACAGCAGTAACTGCCTGTCCCAATATTTGTTTTCTATTTACGGCGGAACGGCAACTAAAACTTTCCACAGGATCGTTTATGCATGTAAAATAGCACATGTACACACACATATACATACACATACACAAACAAACATGTGCTGGCTCTACGTATGCACGTTAAATGTACGGAATACATTTCAATTAGCGAACAGATATCAATGCGAAATCCAATATTCCCTCCATTACACTCCTCCTAATTCCGCTCACACACTCATCAATCCGTCCATTACATCATTCATATTGCACCGCATATCCATCCACGCCATTCCCACGAAACCATAGCTAATGCCAATTTCATGGGACACCCTGTATACCGAGAACCATTATTTATTTACACTCGCCAATTAC